TATCTTTATGTTGCTTGATTCTTATAACAGTTGATTGAGAAACATTTTCCTTGTCTGCTATATAGCGGGAGGGAAAATCTTTATCAAATAAAGCACAAATCCTAGCTTTTTTTTAACAGAAAAGTAAACCATAGATATTTTATAAAATTACAAAGAGACAAAAAATACTATAAGGCATCTTTTTTATATGTGTCGCATAGTTGTTTTAAAGCAAAAAAAAATCGCATAATAAGTGTTGATATTTATTTTTTAAATCGATCAAAAGAAATACATCACCACTTTAGCGAAAGATTCATAACAAAAAAAAAATATATTCTTAAAAAAAAAGATGAAAGAGATTAATAAAGATTAAGGTATGACAAATTCTATATTTAAGTTTTGTAGCATTGTGCCTTTTAAATTACAAGATATTTTCATTTTAAATTTTGTATTCAGGTGATGCAATACTTTTGATCACCACTGTAACTCTGTCATTTGTAGAAGACATGATGATGAAAGCAAAATTTACATGTCGGATAGGATCACTCTTATGCCCAGGAAGATGAGCTCACTTATTACTTCACAAACGGAACCCAGATCACTGAATTTTGTAAATACAATAAACATCATCATGAAGGTTTTAGATCAGACAATATTTTCAGTCCAGGCAAGGTATTTAAATGAAATGATAAGAGATTTGGGACAACTAAATCTGTTGAATCAAATCATTGGATGAAACAGGAATATTATCATTAGAGAATTTAATGGTCAGGAATTGCGTTTGGATCCTTCACCTAATGTTAGAGATTTAGTTCATAAGGAGGAATATTTGTATTCTGTAAAATTATCAAATTCTAATCATCTGATTTTAAGAAATCTTCAAAGAAAATGGTTTAAGGCAGTGCTTATTTTAGCGATCATTTATTATATTCTCATTTTTTAGATGTTTATTTTAATAATTACTGTACATTTTTAAAATCTTTTGTTTGTGTATCTTCTTTATTATATTCTGTAATTAGCAAATGGAAATATGTAAATTTGTTGAAATAATAATAAAAAAATTTATAATTAATGCTCTTTATTACAAAAAATAAATGTGACTTTACTATTATCTCAATTTCACACGCATAATGGCTCAATATAGGCGAAAAATAGATACTTTACTAGTAATTTGCAATGCTCAAAGTGAAAAAATTCTTACTCTTAAGAAATATTATGACAATCTTACGTTGCATGACCCTATTGTTACTATTTTTATGCAATTTTAGTGATCACGTTCCATGCTAGTTGTTTAGTATATAGAATATGTGAAAAAAATCAAAAATCTATTTGAGAAGAATGAATTATGTGTAATATAAGGTTATTGATTACAGGAGGTCAAACTTTTTAGATGCCTGATTAATGAATTCCTTAATTTTTCGTATTCTTTCTGAAATATCAATTTCTGGGTTTTGATCATATCATACTTCCAGAAGAAAGATTCTATTATCTAGGCAAATACATCTTTTTTGCTGATCACGATTAATGACGTCCTCAAGTTTTTTGACATCTTTATACCAGCTGGTGCTATGAAACTGATGCTGAACCCCTTGCATCTCTAATGCAATTCGATATTTTTGGAAGAAAGCATCGAGCTCCAATCCATTTAAGAAAGGAGGACAATATTCAATCATAGGTTCTTCATTAAGAATTTTCTTAGCTATCTAAATGCATCTAGTTTAGAATTTGCGATTTTTCTTAGATTCTGATTCTTTTTTAAGCTTATCAAGTTACCGTTCTAACTTTTCAATTCTGGCATTATGTTAGTTATTCTCTTCTATCATCTGCTCCATAAGCTTCACATTTCTGGCCTCAATCTTGACATTCCTGGCTTTAACCTCAGTAAGCTTCTTTCTAAGTTTAGAAATCTTGACAAGTTTCTTTCTAAGTTCAGGAATCTTAGCATTTTCAATCTCAAGTTCAATATTCCTAACCTCAAACTCAGTAATGCGTTACTTTAATAAATTTATTTCAGATTCCATGTCTGTGTAATATCAAATGTTAGTATTCAAAATCGATAAAAATATGTAGATTATTCAGCTAATCATTAACTGGTTAACGGTTTTTGCCAAGAAAATTTTACGTGATCTGCTTGTAATGCAAAAAAAATCTAATTAATGATCATGCAAAACACCTCTCAACTCGCTCTAAACTAACTAGATTATTCAGACTCTGATTTAGTTTCAGAGCTAGAAGATTCTGAATCAGAACAGCAGTAATCT